GTCGCTAGTGAAAACCAGCCTTTAGAAATACACATGGGGCTGATATTTGTTCACATTCATCTGGGAACGCTGTAAGTAACATGAGAAAGAGCCCTTTATTTAGCTCTTTTGAAGTGGAATTTTGGTTGCAGCCTTTCGGTGTTTATAATGCACCCAAAATTATTAAAATATTACGGCTAGGTTATTAAGTTTATACATGTGTATTACATGCTTTGCGTAGTACTGTCATTTTGTATTTATGAGATGAGATCTCACAGAAAAAGGAAGATATTTTCTTGAGAAAACGGAAAGTAAGACGCCCGTAAAAATGCACTTACCACTAGCGCTTCCCTCTTAAACGCCTTTACTGTTTGAAGAACTTGTTATGAATTAAAAAGGAGTAAATATGTCCATGGATGTCGCTTGGTACAGCCGCCATCTTATGTGCGGTCACTCAGATGCTCTTTTCGTTGACACCGCTGAAAATAAGAATTTCTTGCTCAAATGTCCCGCCAAATATTACAAATATAGTCATTTCATTTTTTTTCATCAGCTACCCTGCCCTGTGCCTTTCGTAGAGAAGTACACTAAATAAAGAGCTAATTAAGAGAAAACTATAGAAAAAATATTATAGAGCCATGGCTGTGCGAGAGCTATTAGTAGTATACAGGGTATGAAACAAATACCATTTCGCAGAGGGAGCCTTATTTCACCTTATCGCAGCCCCCACCATCAAGTCCGGCCCTCACATGCTCGGGCCGGTTGAACCTGGGGGCTGCGAACAGTGAAATTCGGCTCCCTCTTTGAAATAGTATTTGTTTCATACCCTGTATACTACTAACAACAGAGGCACCCCCGCGCAGCGCCCCGCCACGCAAGGCGGCCGCGGCCACTGGAACAAACCGGTTTGGACCGGTTTGGACGGGTTTGAACCGCCCCTCGCGGGGGCACAACAAAGGAGTGCGGTATGTTAGAAAGGGGCGAGCCGGGTGTAATATGGCTGGAGCCGAGACGGCACGAGCGCCAAACAAGTGCGGGTGGCTGAAGCGGGGCCGGAAAGAAAGCTGCGG